TGCACAGTCCCACGCCGTTAAGTACATTCACACTGTTGTGCAACCATCACCACCATCAATCCCAAAACTTCTCATCTGCCCAAACTTAAACTCTGTCTCCATCAAATGCTAACTCCCCATTCCCCCCACAACCAGCCCCTGGCACCCACCATCCTACTTTCTGTTTTGGTGAATCTGACTCTTCTGGGTACCTAATACAGTTGGAATTATACAGCATCTGTCCTTTTGTGACTGGCTTGTTTCACTTATAATGTCCTCGGGGTTTATCCATGTTGTCACATGTGTCAGAATTTCCTTCCACTTTATGGCTGGATAATATTCCGTTGCATGGAGAGACCCTACTTTGTTTATCGTTCATTTGTCGATAGACACTTGGATTGCTCCCGCCTCTTGGCTTTTGCGAGTAACGCTGCTATGCACGCGGACATGCAAATCTCTTTTCTGGTTCCTGCTTCCAATTCTTTTGGGTATATATCCAGAAGTGAAGTGCTGGATAGTATGGTAATTCCATTGTTTAATTTTTTGAGGATCCACTATCCTGTTTTTCTCATGGCAGCAACACCGTGTTACCTTCCCACCCACAGTACGCAGGGTTGCAGTTTCTTCACACCCTCACCAACAGTTGTTGTTTTCTGTTTTGTTTTTTTACAATAGCCACCCTAATGAGTGTGGGGTGGTACATGCCAGCTATGCTTTTTTAATCTCATTTGTGCGGATGTTATTTATAACTTGTAGCTCTTTATGTCATCATTCCTTACCCTTGCTTCTGTTCACCCCCCAGCATCCCAAAACAGGGACATGAATTGTCCTCTCAAAATTATGCCTCGTGGCTGCACCCAGCATTCCCAGAGGGCTCAGGACCACACTGGGGAATGTGCTGGATGAAGCTCTTGCCCTGGGAGCCAGGAAGCTTGGGGACAGCCCCAGGCCTGCCCCTCCGCAGGTCTGTGATCAAGAGCAAGTCACGTCCCCCTGGACCTGCTTCCTGTCTGTTAAAATGGAAACAATACTGATGCCTCAACTCCCTTATAGAATTGGAACCCTGGAGATAAAAAAGCTCCTGGAAAGTCTACAGCAATAGCAAAATCTCTGGGTTTGTCAAGATTAAAAAAAAAAAAAAAAGTCTAAAGAAAAAAGGGATGGGCCTCTGCTTCTTAGTAATGCACGTGGGCGATCTCAGAGCTCAAGTTCATGGAAACAAATTGAATTACGTAGGAGGCAGCTCTGCCATTTGCAACCATGGATTGTTTGAAATCCTTTTAGAGGAAAATTAAAATATCTCACAGAGGGTAATAAAATGCCGGGTATTTTGAAGGCATAACTGCTCAGCTCTCTTGGGCAAAGAAGTAATTAGGCATTTTTCTTTAAGCCCTCCGAGCTGTCATTTTCTTTCATTGGTGGAGAGGGGAGAAAAACTGTTGTGGAAAATACATAAAACTCTGGAGGTCACCAGAAGATTAACTATCAAAATGTAGAAAACATTAAAAGTAGGTAAATAAATATATCATTTTTAAAGCACAACATAATACCACGCTACAGAGACAAAGGGAAGTGCTTCAAATTTATTTTCACAAACATCAGAAATGGGAAGCTGTACCAAAGGTTCCTTTGTTTCCAGATCAAATCCCACCAAAGAGCCCAGGAGTGGGGAGCCTCCCAAGGCCTGTGGTGCTGGAGACATAGTTCTGCTTGGCGTGGGAGCAGGGAGGACGTTCTGAGCCTTGTTCCCGCCCAGAGCCCTCAACCACTGCTGAGGACTGTGCCTCCGCCTTGTTGCACCATCCCTCACCATGATCCACTTGAAGAAAAGGGTTGAAAATGGTTGATTTTTCTCTCAGCTAGAGATCATCTGCTCTAGTCTCTCCGTTTTACAGACAGAGAAACTGAGGACAAGAGCTTAAGGCTCTGTCCTTCCTATGAATCCCTAAGTCTCAAGACCACCGCATTATCAATGCCAGTGACTCCACAGTGCTTGGGTGGGCTCCCTAGGCCTGAGCCCTAACTGTGGAAGGGGGAGTTGGCCAGGGCTATGTCCCATCGCCGTCCTGTCCCCTGCACAAGTGGTCCATGCCAGCATCTCCCAGACCCCACCTTCTCCTGTCTGTGAAGCTCGTTCGAGTAATATGACAAGGGGCTGGGGCTGAGGATACAGAGGTCCTGGACAACGCTGGTTTGAGACCCATGCAAAGCCACTAATGGTGGTGGCGGGAGTCAGGGCGGGGGGGGCTGTTGGCACAGGCATGCTCATAGGTAGATATTCCTCTTCTAAATCTCTCTAGGGTTTCAGTTTATCTGTGGTGCCTTTTACCACTCCCAAAGCCACCTCCACCTAAGATGCTGCATAGTAATTTTATGCAAGGAAAATGAGCAGTGCATGCACGTGGGTGTGGGTGCAGGTGGGATGTGAGTTCACCTCCCATTCCCTCCGGCTAATCCCACCATTAGCCCACATGGAGGTTTCTTGTTCTTACGTATTAACCTCTCCCACCATTCTGATCCGCATGGAACCATCCCGCCAACAATGACTAAGTGCCCACTGTGTGCTGGGTTTTATGCTGGTTCTGAGAACCCTGCAGAGAAAAGAATCTGATAACTCATTTATTCAGGGGGAGACAGACCCATGAAGCAATTGTCAAAGACACTGTGATATTTGAGCTGGCCCTTAAAAAGCAAGGAGGAGGGGTGCCTGGGTGGCTGGCTCAGTTGGTTAAGCGCCTGATGTCAGCTCAGGTCATGACCTTGAGGTTCGTGAGTTCGAGCCCCACATCAGGTTCTGCGCTGATGGTGTGGAGCCTGCTTGGGATTCTCTCTCTCTTCCTCTCCCCCACTTGTGTTTTCTCTCTATATATCAAAAATAAATAAATAAATTTAAAGTAAAAAGGGAATGGAGGAGTTTGCCTTGCAGGGGAGGGGGAAGGAACAGCAGAGGCAAAGGCACAGAGGCATGAAACAGCTTGTGTTCAGCCAGCCACACAAGGAAGTGAGAGGTGCTGGGGGAGAGGTGGCTGATGATTTCACTGAGACCCCAGGGTGGGAGTTTGTGTTCATGCAGCCCAGCACCTGGCAGAGGGCCAGCACCCAGCCGGTGCTGAAGAGTGTGTGTCAGATCAGTGAGTAGAAAGAAAGAAAAGTGGAAGGGACCAGGAGAAGGGAAAAGTAAACTGTGCCTTAGTCATAGAAGGGAATCAATAGAACAGTCAAAAAAAGGAACAAATCAGAACCATAAACACAGGTGCCTCTCAAAATGCAATTACATGAGCAAACAACTTTTAGAAGAATGTCTACAGTCTCCTTACACACACATACATGCAGTAGGTTAGGCTACATGTAATTGACCATTTTGACTTAGAAACATAGCAGTTTCAGGGGCGCCTGGGTGGCTCAGTCAGTTAAGCGTCAGACTTCAGCTTGGGTCATGATCTCGCAGTTTATGGGTTTGAGCCCCCGCATCGGGCTCTGTGCTGACAGCTCAGCCTGGAGCCTGCTTTGGATTCTGTGTCTCCCTCCCTCTCTGCCTCTCTCTCTCTCTCAAAACCAAATAAACATTGAAAAAATTTAAAAAAAAAAAAAAAAGGGACAAGCTGTTGACACACACGATAACTTGCCTGGACCTCAAGGAGATTATACTGAGTGAAAAGAAGCCAGTCTTCAAAAGTTACACATACCGTATGGTTGCATTTACAGAACAGGCTTGAAATGACAAAATGATAAAGATAGGGAACAGACTAGTGGCTGCCAGGGCTGGGGGTGGGGGGGAAGGGAGGTGACTGCAGCTCTAAAAAGGGTGTCACAGGGATCAGATCCTTGTCATGAACTGTGTGTATCTTCATGTATCTTCCTGCTGGCGGTCGTGGGAATCCACACTCAATGCCGTTGCATAGAACTAAACACACACACGTGAGTGCATGTAAAACCGGTGAAGTCTGAGTGAGGTGGGTCTGATTGTATCGGTGTCAGTGTCTTGCTGTGACATTGTACTGTAGTCATACACAGGTGAGCACTAGGGGAAACTGGAGGAAGAGTGTATTTCTTATTGCATGTGAATCTAGAACTATCTCAAAAAAATTTTTAATAAATAAATAAAAATAAACATTTAAAACACACACAGGGTAATAATAATGCCACATTTGAGACAGAGGTTCTTTCTGGGAGGAGGGGAGGATTCTGCAGACTGGGAAGGATACACAGGGGGATTCACCTGTATCTGTCATGTTTTCCTTCTCAAAAAGGGAAAATCTGAAGCTAATGTGGCCTATTTCTCAGGTTCTACAAAGCTGAATGGTGGGTACACCAGTGTTTCTTTAATTATTCTCTATCCTGCTTTTATGTTTGAAATAGTTCGTGATTTATATATTTTTTAAGTTTATTCATTTATTACTTCTGAGAGAGAGAGCGAGCACACAAGCAGGGGAAGGGCAGAGAGAGAGGGAGACACAGAATCCATAGCAGGCTGCAGGCTCTGAGCCTTCAGCGCAGAGCCTGACTTGGGACTCGAACTCTCGAATGGTAAGATCATGACCTGAGCTGAAGCAGAACACTTACTCAACTGAACCACCCAGGTGCCCCAAAAGAGTTCGTGATTTTTTTTTTTATTTTTTTTAATGTTTATTCATTACTGAGAGACAGAGAGACACAGAGCGTGAGCAGAGGAGCGGTAGAGAGAGGAGACACAGAATCTGAAGCAGCTCCCAGCTCTGAGCTGTCAGCACAGAGCCCGATGCGGGGCTCGAAGTCACGGACCATGAGATCATGACCTGAGCCGAAGTCGGTCGCCTAACCAACTGAGCCACCCTGGTGCCCCTGAGTTCATGATTTTTAAAACACGGATCTTGCTTAACTCCTTTCATCCAGAGCCAGGATTGGGTCTTGGATGGAGAGGGCTGAGGGTGTGGGTGGTGGGAAGGGGGCACACAGGGCTCTCTGAGAAGGGGAGGGGGTGGCTCGGCCCCAGGGCCTCAGCAGCAACCCCCTGTGAGCCACCTGGGCCTCTCTCTCTGCAGCCCCCGGAGAAGGAGGGTGCCCTGCCTCGGCAGGTGGGCAACAAGACAGAGTGCGGCCTGCTGGGCTTCGTGCTGGACCTGAAGCAGGATTATGAGCCCGTGCGCACCCAGATGCCAGAGGAGAAGCTGTACAAGGTGTACACCTTCAACTCTGTGCGCAAGTCCATGAGCACAGTCATCAAGCTGCCGGACGAGAGCTTCCGCATGTACAGCAAGGGTGCTTCTGAGATCGTGCTCAAGAAGTAAGCCGCGCGTGGTCGGGGAGGGGTGTGGGGAGCCGGGGACCACCAAGTCGTGCAGCACGGGCTGTCCTACAGGCTGGGCCGAAGGGCCATCTGGCACTCAGGGGTGGGGGGGGGGGGGACCTGCCCAACGTCCCACGGCAGGACCACCTCCAGGGTCCCTCGCCCACTGCTTTTCTCCCCATTTCCTCTTATAAATGTCTGCAGAGAGCCCTCCCCATCCTCCTCCCTACATCACTGGATCATCAGGAAGGGCTCCCCATCATCAGTGTTAAATCTCCCTCATTTTACTTCCTTTAGCATAGAGTGATTTTCATTGTGACCTAGTCTACTCTGGCTCCACGCTGGAATCACCCCAGGGAGCTTTAAAAAAAAAAAAGAAAGAAAAAATAGGGCACCCGGGTGGCTTAGTCAGTTGGGTGTCCGACTTTGGCTCAGGTCATGATCTCACGGGCCGTGGTTCGAGCCCCCCGTCAGGCTCTGTGCTGACAGTTCCAGAGCCTGGAGCCTGCTTCAGATTCTGTGTCTCCCTCTATCTCTGCCCCTCCCCCGCTCAAGCTCTGTCTCTGTCTCTGTCTCTCTCAAAAATAAATAAACATTAAATAAATAAATAAAAAGAAAGAAAGAAAAAACATTGATTCCTGAACTCACCCCAGACAAACTGAGTTGGGGTGAACCTCTGGGGCAGCGCTCACACATGGGTATTTATTTATTCAGTGTTTCTCCAAACCATTGTAATGTGCAAGCAAGGTCCAGAACCACTAGCATAACTAAGTTTCCTCCCCTTTGAAAATCACTTTAGTTGTGGAACGATTTTTTCAGATGAAATCTTGTGAATATAAAACAGATCAAAGTAGATGTGCTCTTGCTGAATGGACTGGGGCAAATATTATAAGAAGACTGCCTGCTTTCTTTTTGGCTGGTCTTGATTTCATCCCTGCCTGGGGCCCAGGGGCCTGGACCAGCCCTGAAGCATTATGGGAGTTGAACAGGATGGACACTGGATGACCAACCACGGCCAGCTGAGCATCACTGGGGAGGGGGAGGTGAGCTCAAGCTGGTCAGAAGGAGGATCCTTGGGCCCTCAGCTGGACCTTACCCATCTCCCTCCCATCTGCCCCCAGGTGCTGCAAAATCCTCAACGGGGCAGGGGAGCCCCGGGTCTTCCGGCCCCGCGACCGGGATGAGATGGTGAAGAAGGTGATCGAGCCCATGGCCTGTGATGGGCTCCGCACCATCTGTGTGGCCTACCGCGACTTCCCCAGCAGCCCGGAGCCTGACTGGGACAATGAGAATGACATCCTCAACGACCTAACCTGTATCTGTGTGGTGGGCATCGAGGACCCCGTGCGGCCCGAGGTAGGCACCCTACCAGCAGGCTTGGAGAGGCTGGGAATCCAGCCTGCTGCCAACCTGACATAAGTTGCCTCACCTTTCAGAGCCTCGGTTTCCCTATAGCGTCCACAGGTTTTTTCTGCACATACTCCTAAACGTTTGGACTCATGAGACCAGTGTAGGCCATGTTTGGCATTGGTCTGCTCAGGACCCGTGGCAGCACCCACAGCCGACTGCTGGGGATAGTCCCGGAGCCATCCACCCAAGCACCCAGAAACCTTCCCTTGCCCCCAAAGGACAAGCACGGGGGCTGCCCTGCCTTAGAAGCCTCTTGCCCCACAGGAGCCAGGACCTCCTATAACACATCCATAGGCCTAGATTCCAGGCTCCCTGTAAAGAAGACCCCCAGAAACAACCGGTATCCAGGAAAACCCACGTGTGGTGTCACACCATCATTTAGAGTTCTGTCCATCCAGATCCTGCTTACTGATCAGCTTTCCCCGGTAGGCTCGCACAGTGACACAGCTGACAGTCTCCCTTTATCAGGTTTCCAGGGGAACAGAGCTACAAAGTTAACCAAAGGCCAGGTGCTCAGGCAGAAGAGAAGAGGGATGACAGCACCCCTCCCTATAAGGACGAAGGAAGGTGATGTGATAAGTGCACCTAATGGAGTGCTCAACTCACATAGGTCTTCAGCCTCCTTTAGCCGCCTCTGCATCTGGCAGGAAGACAGAACTCGGTGCTGGGGATTTGCAGGGTTGGGGGCGGATGGACACGTGTGGTCAGTCAGACTGCCCAGGCTAGAGAGGCCGTGGGAGGAAGCGTGGGCTGCCACAGATCTCCAGAACGTTCCCGTGGGCAAGCAGAGTGAATCTGCTCACCCTGCGGGGCCCCAGAGGGCAGAGCTCAGCACATGGGACAAGTCACAGGAGAGGCCGGCCTCCACATCCTCGAAAGACTAACACAGCCGCTGGGGCTCAGGTTGGTTCCCAGGCTGGCCCAATTAGGCCCACCCAGATTGGCCTTGGCTGCGGAATTTGGTGACAGTGCCTCTCAGGGCCACCTTCCTCCAGTAAAGGCAACTTCACTCTCCCCCACTTGCCCTGACACCATTCTGTGGGGGCCTCTCGCTGTTCTCTGCTCCCCTTGGAGCCTCCATTTCCCTTTCTTTCAAGTGAAAGGGGGTAGACAGGGTGTTTTCCAAAGTCCCAGCCCCAGTGTTCTAAGATTCCGTGTTCCGAAAACCAAGTGAAACTAGGATGTCGCGGATGTGGACTTTCACGCTTAGGCAGCAGGGAGAGGCGTCGTCAAGAGTATGAGCTCAGGCATCGGACAGGCCTGGGATCCTGAGTCCCGGCCTTACTGGCTGTGTGACCTTGGGCCAGTTATGTAACCTCTCTGAGCCTCTGTTTCTTCATCCGTAGACTGGGGATAATAACAGTGTTCTCCACACATACACACCCCAGGGTACTATGAGGTATCATCATGCACATAGAAGCAACAGGCAGAGCCTGGCATGAGGTACGTGGCCCATCATTGTGGGTCTCCTTCTTTTATGCCCCTCCCCAGTAGATGCATAAGTCTGGATCCAGTGACATGTAACAGCCCCTAACACAGAGCTCGGCCTATGGAAGGTACTTGAGAAGTGTGGAGTGAATGAATGAGAACAAATGGGACTCGAACACCAATCTTCCAATACTGTGCCTGGTACTCATCTCTCTCTCTCTCTCTCTCTCTCTCTCTCTCTCTCTCTCTCTCTCTCACACACACACACACACACACACACACACACACCACAGGCCTCCTCACTCCCACCCAGAGCCTAAAGCAGCAAAGGCGATTTGTGCCCCAGGTGCTTGGCACTGGAGCCCATGTGTGTTTTCCTGCAGACTGTGTCTGTCCCTGAACAGACAGGCCATTTATCAGCCTCCCCATGGGACGCCCGCTCATTACCAGCTGCTAATGGGTTCAGGCTTCCCATGACATGTTATCTCCTTACAGGCAACAGAGACTAGTCTCTGCATAGCAAGCAAGGCCAGCCTATGGTTCCCCTGTCCTTCCCATCCCCAGAGCTCCCTGTTCCTCACCCTGCAGCTGGGGTGGAAAGAAGTATCAGACACATAACTTTTTTGGTCATAACCCACAAAAAATAAGAAATGTATTTTATATCATGACTCAGTAAACACATACACCTGACCAAAATAAGAATCTCACAAAGTAACGCGATGCGCTTATAAGTATTTTCTATTCTCTTCTATTTCTTTCTTTTTTTAACACTAGTCGTCACCCACAAAACTGATTTCACAATCCACTAAAACGGCATGAGTTTAGGTTTGGGCTGCTGCTGACCTAGTCCAAATGCCTCTGCACACCCCCACTGAGCAGGTGAAAACACTAAGGCCAAGCAGGGACACTGATGTTCCCAAAGACCTGCTGTAAAAGGCTGAGCAAATCCATATTAGAATGGGTTTTCTGCCTTCCTGCCTCAGGCCCTTCCCCAGGATGCCACGGAAATGAAAGGGCAAGTGGTTCTCAATCAGGAGGGTGGAGAGAGTTGGGACAGGGCCTAAGAGGGGCTAAGCTGGGTCCCTGGCATTTCCCATTGACAGCGTGATCATCCAGAGAAGCTGGCTTCAGTCACAGACTCTGGGAAGGGGCAGCTGTCCCACCCGGCAGCACTGTCATCCTGGAGGCCCCTACATTGGAGAAAAGGGACCTGGATCCGAGCCCCAAGTCTGTCAATAATAAGCCTTTCCCCCGCCCCTGTGCCTCAGTCTCCTCATCTGTAAAATGGGAGGTTGGCCCAGGGAGGTCCCTGCCAAGTTCCAACATTCTGAGCCAGCTGACTAGAAGCTTACCCTGACACCTTTGTCTGCTTCTGTCAAGTTGGTGCATCCTTGTTGGTGACCTCCTCTCTCCCCTGGACTCTCCCCCAGGATGTAGATTTAGATGTGGTAAGCTGTGTTGGAGAGCAGTGACTTACTAGGGTGACACAGCAGAATCAAGGGATACGGGTACTGATCCTGCTCCTGCCACTTCCTCACGGAAGACCCACAGGTGCATCGCTTCCCTGGGCCTCAGTTTCCCCATCTGAACAGTGAGAGAGTAGGACATTGCCAAGTGAGAGACACATAGCAGGGTTGCTGGTGGCACTGCTTAAAAGTATAAAAGCTCCGACCTGTTGACTCAGCATCTCCCAGTGGGGGTGGGGATGGCTTTTGATCTATTTGGTTTTTAGGCCGGGTGATTGATACACACAGAGCCAAATTCAAACGGTTCCATAGCACAGAAGGGGTGAAGCAGCCTCCCATGCCACCCCCCAGCCCCCTGGTCTCTGCCTCACAGTTTCTTGGGTGACCTTCGCAGAGTGTCTATGCCCACAGTTTTTGGCAAGCTCTCCCAGGCCACCGTGAGGCTGGCCGGAGCGGGAGCCTCAGGCTGGACCACCTCTAGGGTCGCACAAACATTTTCAGATTTGTTGGGCAGCTGCCCCTGGAGCACAAACCCTGCCTCCCTCAGTTTTCCCATCTGTCAAGGGGACAAATCACGTTGCCTTCCTCCCTCAAGAAGCGAGAACAGATCGAAACAGACTTGCCCATCACCCCCCAGACAACACATAGGATGCCCCCTCGGGTACACTTTCCGAGGCTGATCGAAGCCGCTGCAGATAAAGCCATCAGAAGAGCAGCAGTCTGGGATTTGCCGGGTTATCCGGGGGTGTTTGGAGCCCTTGAAGTCACAGACAACGGGTGTCACCAGAAACAACAGATGTTTAAAAGCCTTTATTTAATGAAAACAGGAAGCGCCCATTTCCTGGCTGTTTTTCCTCAGTGAGAAAAATCTTGGATAATTTTAGCAAAGGAAGGGATTTTTTTTTTTTTTTTTGAAATTTTACAGCTACTTTATCTATGTGGAAAGTCTATTTCAACCAGATTGGTGCCCTTGTGGCTTGAGTCTTCCATCATCTCTGGATCCTCAGTGGCCAGAACAGTTAGATGTTCAGTAGCTATTTGCCAAACAAATGAATGAATAAATACAAGGAAATGCTGGTGCAGTTTAAGGAAGCACCCCATTGGGTTGGAGGAACCCAGAGTGGCTTCATGAGGAGAGGCAACTCACCTGAAAAAGAAGAGACTTTTGACACACAGATTAAGGGAGAGAGGGTGTTCCAGGCAGAGGGAACAGCGTGGACAAACGCAGAGAGGTGTCCAGGAAGGCATGCTAAGTGTTTGGAGTCTAGTGAATACCCCGCTTTGGATTTATGAGAGAAGAGGCTAGGAAGGGAGCCTGGAGCGACATTGGAAGGGTCTCATGTCCCCATCCAAATCCGTTCACCAGGTCAGGCTTTGAGGGACTTAAGCAGAGAGACTGTTCGTGATGACCCACATTTACAAAGCACCTACCCTGTGCCATGTCCCTCTGTCAGCAATGCCTGCCCCCCCAGAGCCCACAGCCTAATGAAATGCCTGGTAAAAAGGCAAGAGCAGTAGACCCAAAGCACATGAGATCCTCAAGGCAGACCGAAGCACAACACAGACGTCCAGGTACACGGGCCGCCGCCCAGAAAGGAGGCGGAGTACCTCAAGGAGGTCAGGGATGCCCTGGGGTGTTTCTGGAATCCCCCCACGTTCTAGGCAGGTCACAGACCTCTAAGGCACCTGGCCCAGAAATCATGGTGAAGTGTCCACACTATCCCACTGCCCCAAACAAATGGCCGCCCCTCCAAGTCCCCGACACCAGCTGTGCCCCACCCCCACCGCATCTACATCCACACCCTCTGCACCCCTCCCCCTCTCCCAGAGCAGGAAGAACAAGCAAGGAAGACCATGGTCCGGCGTGTTGCCAGGCTCCCCACCGCCACCACCAGCATGGCTGGCTCCATGCTTGGTACTGTTTACCCCTGTCATGGCATCGTCCAGCCTCGCTGAGGGGTGTAGACTATCATCCCCATTTTACAGATGAGGATGCCAACGCTCAGGGGGAACCCCAGGGCAAAGCCCAGCCCAGCCTTTTGGTCCCTGAGCCCTCTCTCCAAGAGGGAGAGAAGCCTCCACCATACAGAGGAAAGCGCGGGGGCCATAAAAATTAGCCGCCTCCTTTTTCTCCCTGAGCCAGCTTGTTTTGGGGAGCCCCAGAGGGTGAGGATTCCAAGCAGGCAGATTGCAGCTCCCGAGACAGCCTAAAAAGTATTAGTCTTTCTAAAACACAGTGTCAGTCACCTCATCACTCATTCAGAACTTACCACGGTTCCCAGGCCTGAAGGAGCAAGCCCCTGATTCCAGCACCTTCTGACCTCGAGCCTTTCTCCAGCTTCATGGCCACCGGCTCCTGCCCCACAGCCTCAGCCCCTCCAGATCACCTGCCACACCTTCCTCCAGCACCCTTCCCACCTTCTGTGCCAGTGCCTCTCATGGGACAGAACCCTGTGGCCTGGGCCACAATGAAGTGGTCACCTGTGTAGCCCCAGCCAGGGCACAGTGCCAGGCACCAGAGCCTCAGTGTTAGCTGAACAGAAGCAACTCGAACGTCCCCTCCTCCGGGAAGCTTTCTCGGATTTCTCCTCTGCATCTACTTCCTTCTGAAGTACTGGCACCCTTCTCCTTTGCTCCCAGAGCCCATTGTACGGAGATCTTTACCAAAGACCCTGCCTCCTACAAGGGTACAGCTCTGACCCAGAGCACCTGCTTTCTCATCTGAAAAAAAGAACAATTCTGTGAAAGGATATGATAGACTTGTTCCACTGTGGAGCGGTCAGCCTGGGAGGGAGTGAGCACCCTGTCACCAGAGACCTACAAGCAGAAGCTGGCTGGCCATCTGTTGGGATGCCTAGCAGGAGAGCTAGGCAACGAGGAGAGAGTCAGAGTCATGACCTGAAGTCCCTTCCAACTCTAAGACTTCGAGCGTCTTTAAACCAAACAAAACCTAAACTATTCCTTTGAGGGCAGGAGCCAGATCAGGTGGATGTCCTCGAAAGAGCAGTGGCTCTTTCCGTTCCTCTGAACAGGAGACAGCAGGGGGCTGCAGCCCGGGTTACAGCCATTTTGAGGACATCGATCAATTATGTAAGCGGGATGTTGGACACTCCACGTCCCCACTCCCTCTGGCTCTGTAAAAAGAGGTCACAGTTGCCTATGTGAGCAGCAGCTATGGCACGAGGCAGAGGCCTTGCTCATGTGCCCCCCGCCCAGCCCCAAGTGGGCTCTTCCTCAGGCCCTGGAAGTGCAGCCAGAGGAGACCCGTGGTCAGCTTACCCTACTCCAGCCCTTGTGACAGGGAGATCACTACCTCTCACCACAGACCTGGTCTCTTATACAATTCTGGTAGCTGGAGGGTGCATTCTCCTGACCTTGGCCAGGACCCTGCCTCTTCACGATGTTCGTTCCCTGCTCTACCACAAGATGGCCATGCTCAGGAGTCTTGATTTTCTCTATAAGCAGCTGGGAGGGAGTGACACCCCAGGCTGAACTCTAGGCAGGTCATTGGAGGTCAGGTAGGGGAGGGACGGAAGACGGGCAAGGCCAGAGGCAGGGAGACTGGGGAGGGGCTGGGCAGTGGCCCCCACTTGGAATGGTGGCGCTCTGTACTGAGGGAATAGCAGATGCTGTGGACGGGGGTGGACAGAGGCTAGATATTTTCAAGATCAATCCTTGTTTTTAAAGTTCCTGAGGGCAGGAAGGGGACCAGCAGTCAGGAGCTGTCCACAGTCAGGTTTTGAACCAATGTTCTGACTCTTTGTATTAGTTGCCATGATGCAATAGCACAGACTGGGTGGCTCAGACAACAGAACTGGATTCTCTCACGGTTCTGGAGGCTGGAAGTCCAAGATCAAGTGTTGGCAGGGTTGATCTCTTCTGAGAGCCATGAGGGAGAATCTGCTTCATGCCTCCCCCAGCCCCAGCTTGTGGGGGTTTGCTGGCAATCTTTACTGGTCCTTGGCAGCAACACCCCAGTCTCTGCCTTTCTCTTTATATGACATTCTCTGCGTGTGTGTCTGGGTCCAAATTTCCCCTCTTCATAAAAACTCCAGTCACACTGACTGAGGGCCACCCTACCAGCCTCAACTTAATTACCTCTATAAACACCCTATCTCCAAGTAAGGTCATATTCACAGGCACTGGGGGTTAAGACTTTAACATATCTTTTTTTTCTTAATTTTTATTTATTTTTGAGAGGGAGAGAGAGAGAGAGGGAGAGGAGGGGGGAGGGGCAGAGAGAGAGAGGGAGACACAGAATCCGAAGCAGGCTCCAGGCTCTGAGCTGTTAGCACAGAGCCTGACACGGGGCTCAAACCCATGAGCTGTGAGATCATGACCTGAGCCGAAGTGGGACACTTAACTGACTGAGCCACCCAGGTGCCCCAAAACTTTAACATATCTTTTTGGAGCAGCCACAGTACAGCCCAAATAATCACCAGACCCTCTCAGCAGCGACTTTGCAGAGTGGGGATGGGAGTGACCTCCCAGACACTATGGGTACGAGATGAGGGGGAGACAGACTCCCTGAATCCAAGCCTGAGATTCTAAAGTGCTTTGGTCTTTTGATACAACCGGACTTTCTGCCCTTGACGTGTCCTCTTCCACTCAGAGACTTTGTGCAGCAAATAGCAAATATTACCTTATTATTTTATCATTTGTCACTGCCCATGGGTAAGAATCACTTGTTCAGTTGATCTGTGTTGTGTGTAAAGGGCTGTGGCAGCTCCAGGCTGGTTTCTGCATCCTAATTGCTGGGCAGATAAATCCACAGCTCTGTATAGGGGCAGGGACTGGGGGGATGGGGAGGGGGGGAAGGGTGCTGCCACCTGCTGATTGGCTGGGTCTACTCTGGCCTGATTGGCCCAGACATCAGTCTATCATTGCAGTCAGGGCAGGAGGCAGTCCTTACTCTCTCTGGGGAATGTCCTGTTTTACATGAAGCATAATCATTTGTATGTATCCTAAGCCAGTGTCACATTCTGTAAATAAAATGCTCCCAAGTGCAGTATCCCCCCAACGCCCCCCCCCCAAAAAATCTAAAAATACACAAACATACTTGTCACTGAATTTGCAGGAACTGTGCATGTGGATAAAGCTGTGCATGTGGATAAAGCACATTCTCATGCAATAGTAGAGTATTCTACTCCCACCTGGGGCCAGATCTGAGAGGGTGTTATTGGGGTCTTTCTCAAATTCCTTGCCCAAGTCAGGATAGCCAGTGGTTTCATCTCAGGACAGACTATCGTGGTGATAGGTGGTAGCTGCCTGAGGCTCTACTGAGAATTCTGAGACCACATCAGGGTTTAATCACAAGATTCTGTGATCGATTAACAATGCCTGCCATGGGCACAGGAAAGGAGGAGATGGCCTATATTCCATGCATGCTATCGGTATCTCATGGTCATCCAGACTCCTTAAGATAGGGCTGCCTGTGAGCAGGGCTCACTCTGGAATCCACGGGGCAGTGAGGGCCTGCCCCAGGTGGTGCTCACTCCCATGGCTCCTGCCCTCCTGCCAGGTCCCAGAAGCCATCCGCAAGTGCCAGCGAGCGGGCATCACAGTCCGCATGGTCACCGGTGACAATATCAACACGGCCCGGGCCATCGCCATCAAGTGTGGCATCATCCATCCTGGGGAGGACTTTCTGTGCCTGGAGGGCAAGGAGTTTAACCGGAGGATCCGCAACGAGAAGGGGGAGGTACATGCCCAGCACAAAGAGTCCGCAGAGGGATGAGCTAGGATGGGAGACTGGGAGGCATGGGGGCTGCGTGACTGTGCAGAAGCCAGCCAGTGTGCCACTAAGAGCCCAGTGACTTTGGGTGAGTCCCCTCCCTTGTCTAGGCCTCAGCTTCTCTCTCAGACCCCCCATCCCTCTCCAGATTGAACAAGAGCGAATTGATAAGATCTGGCCAAAGCTACGGGTGCTGGCTCGCTCCTCCCCCACGGACAAGCATACCCTCGTCAAAGGTAAGACTTGGGGGAAGCAGTTCTGAGGACAGAACCCCCTCTTCTCCTGGTGCCTGCAGCTTCTTTCCAGGACAGAGGGGCTTTTGCATGGGGCTCCCCACACCCGGCAAAACCCTTGTCTCTCCCCATTGCAGCCCTGGGAGGCCCTCTAAGGGCCACAGTGAGATGGGGAGGTTGTGAATCTTCTCTCTGGGTGCCACTCTTCTAGGAAGCAATGAGATTGGGCATGTGTAGGTCCAAACCTCTTGGCCTGAGGGCCAAGGGGGGCCCAGAGATGTGTTGTATTTGGCTGGTACAGTGCCTTTGTTTATGTTGAATTTGGATGGCTTTATACAAACTCTCCTCTCACTTTTTTTTTTTAAAAGAGCCCTTTTTTTGAGGGGGGAGGAGCACAAGTGAGCAAGGGACAGAGAGAGGGAGGGAGAGAGAGAAAGAGAGAGAGAGAAGCAGGGCTTACCCAAAGTGGGGCTTGTGGGTTTGTTTGTTTTTTTTTACCGTAAGTGGGGCTCATTCTCACCCAATGCAGGGCTCGAAATCACGAACCATGAGATCACGACCTGAACTGAAGTCAGATGTTTAACTGTCTGAGCTACCCAGGCACCCTCCCCTCACATTTGAAGCAGTCCTCCCCACTCCTTGTCATGTGACGTTCAGCCCACTTCACTTATTTGTGTTCTCAGTCTGTCCCCAGAGTTGTGAGTTTGAGACCCTTGGTCTGCCTGCTCTCTGAGGACCACAACCAACAACTGTAACCAGGACCCCAGGGGTGGTTTATCCCGGGAATAGCAACCTGATAAATGAGGCCAAAAGCTAACATCTTTCTCCTTCCTTGTCTCCTTCTGGATACAGGGCATACGATTTGCTGAGCTCATGCAGGTGGCCAGGTTCTGGGCACTTTTACAGTCATGCCTTCCTGGCTTCCCATGCCTGGCTGCCTGGCTGCCACTGACCTGTTCTATAGCCTTGGGCAAGTCCCTCCTCTTCTGGGACTCAATTTTCCCATCTTTAAAATGGCCATAGGAGGGCAGATCATAGGAGGGCTGAGGTCATCCCTAGGGCATCTCAGATTCTCCTCCCAAAATACTACCCAAGGACATTAATGGAGGCAGATGTGGCCCAGGGACAGAAACATAGAACCTCAGAACCACAGATAACAGAACAGGAGGCCCCCCACCCCATCCCCATTTATTTTTCAATCACTCCTTCATTTACTTATTCATTCTCTTGATAAATGTTTATTGAAGATCTACTAAGTGCCAGGTCCTGCTCTTGGCAGACATGGTCCTTCCCTTTTGGAATTCACGGTCCAGATTCCATCCAGCAGACATTAAATAGCTTTCCTCCCACAGACCTGGAGGCTGCATTGGTGGAAGAGAAGGGTGGGACCGTCTGTTGGCCTCTCACTAAGGCTGGGGATGGGTGTCCCCTAACAGGCCGTCAAAGGTGGGTTGAGACTCCAGGAGAAAGGGCCTGTGTTTCAGGCAAGGAAGAGGACTGCACTGTGAAAGCCCAGAAGATTTCCAGACACTTTGAAGGAGTGGAAAGAAGCTGACCTGACCAGGCAGGGACCTCAAGAGAGAGAGAGGAGCCAGTGAAGGGGGTGCCGGTGTCAGATTGCATAGGGCCTTGAACGCCAGGCTGCTGACCTGAGCTGTTAGCCCAGGATTGGGAGCCTTTGGGAGCGCCTTGAGGGGAAAGCATTGTTTTAGAAAGTTCACTCCCCGCTTGTGGGGAGAATAGCCTGGAAGCAGAGGGACCACCGGAGCTGTCCATCTGTGAGAGGTGATGCCAGGACCAGGGTGGTGACAGCACAGGTGGAGCTGGAAGGCAACGGGTCAGAGACCTGCTTGGGTGGCAGAAGGATATGGGCCCAGCAGCTGTTCGGATGTAGTGGAGGTCTGACAGAGGGGAGGAGTCCCATATTCTCTCCGTCTGTACCTGTCTGAGAGCCGGCAATGTGTCAGCATGGCCCCTGGGTTTTGGATGGGCAGCTGGATGTGAGGAGTCACAAGGGACACGTTTGAGAGCAGAGTGTCATGTGCAGTTTAGGGCTAGCTGAGCTGGAGGCTCTGTGACATCCAAGTGGGGCGTCCAGAAGACAGCTGGCCATCCATGCAGTCAGGACTCAGGAGAAAGATTAAGGCACAGGTGGAGCGTGCCAAGTGGGGAAAGCCAGCTGAACCCAGGAATCTCCCATGTGAGCGATTGGCAGAGGCCGAGAGACCGAGAAGAGGCCTCCAGAGCTGTAGGAGGACAGCCAGGAGCGGTGGGGTCTAGGAAGACAAGGAAGGGAGCCTGCTGAGGAGGAAGGTGCAGTCCATGGCATGAATGGCACTGAGAGGTCCAGAGAGACAGAACAGGGGTGTGGCCACAGGAGATGGCCACAGGAAGGCCCTTTGTGACCACACACGGTGGGGACATGTTAGTGGGGTGGTGGGGCCATGCCAGCGCTAGAGGTGGAGGAATGGGGTGTGAGAGGAGGTGTCCTCCCAGCTCCCCCTCTATTGGGACCAGTGGGAGGGCTGGGGCAAAGCTGGTACCAGCCTGAGGGGCCACAGAGGAAAACTTGGCCCCCTTCCTGCTCTAGAGGAGCACGTAGGCAGGCTGAGGGAACCAACGGGAACAAAGTCCTCAAATGCCCAGTAGACAGAGACTGGAGGCCGAGTCTTGGGGGGCGACTCAGGGACAGCCACCAGCTGGGGGGAGCAGCCCAGGATGACTCCCGGAGCACGTGGCCTTGGAGCTGGGCCTTGAAGAGGGTGGAACTTGGATATTTGCAAAGAGCTGGGGGAGTGTTGGGAGGCTACGAAGTCTCCCAAGTCAAGAATCCATTCCCTCATTCCATAGGCTGCTGCTGTTTGCCAGGCACAGGACAGGGGAGACACGTATGGGAGCTACAGTGATCTGATTAGGGCAGGCGAGGGTCCTCAGGGAGTCACAAAGGTTTCCCAGGAGAAGTGGCATCTGAGCTGAGACCACAGGTGGGTGACAGCACAGCTGCCGAGGGAACAGCCCATGTAGACAGGGGCAAGGAAGCCAGCTTTGCAGACCGAGAGCCATTCCTATGGCTGGAGCACAGATTGGGGGCGGCCTGAGGCGAGAGAAGAGGAGATTGGGGAAGGGGGCGAGGCCTGACCACAGGGAACTTCAAAATTTTCGGAGGGAGCTAAGAACATGGATGTCACCCTGAGGCCAGGGTGGGCAGTGAGAGAATGACTCTCAGTTGGAGGGAGGGGACAGGTCTGTCCCAGGGCTTAGAGAGAGCCCCTGGCACTGCTGTGCAGATTGGAGGGGCAGCCTGGGGTTAGGGAGAGGGCAGGGGGATGCTGGTGGCAGAGGGAACGGGACAGAGAGAAGTGGGATAGTGCACCTGGGATCTCGGAGCACAATCTGCAAGCCTTGGCCATGGATATGAGGTGCAGGATGAGAGAGAGACATGTCAAGAGTAACATTCAAATTTCTGTCCTGTCCGTGGACATGTCCTCTCAAACTCCACGTGGGCCCCATGATGACATCTTTCACCCACTCTTCTCCACTGGCCCCAGCTCAGTGACGGAGCCACACGTCACCTATTTATTCTCTTTCTGAATATTTTATATTTTATTGAGGGTGAATGTCTGGAGAGAGGTCAAGGCCAGAATGGTGGGTCAGGGGTCGTCGGCAAATGGCCCAGCCCGGGCCTCCTCAGTAAGTGTCTGGACGGCCCAGGGAGAAGGTGGTAGGACCCCAGCCTCTGGAGAACAGAGGAGCTCCTGGAACACAGGCAGACGAGGAGATGTTCTGGCTGGAGTGGCCACCGAGCCAAGGGCTGCAGAGAGTGCAGAGTGTGCTGGAAAGGCAGTGAGGGCCCAGACCTCAGAGGGCCACAAGCCCGCAGGGGGCTAAGGTGCCCGACAGGCCCTGCAGGTGCTGGCAGCTGTGGGCAAGCCTGGAGCTGGGAAAAGCCAGGATGGGGGGCGGGGAGGGGCATGGCTGGGGCCAAAGAGGAAGCTGTGCCCAGCCCAGGGTCCTCCCAACAATCAGACTGGTCCTGGCTGCCCTGGCCCCGTGGAGCGTCTATCCCAGGGCCCTAAGCACACTCCTGCCCCACCCCACAGGTATCATCGACAGCACACACACCGAGCAGCGGCAGGTGGTGGCCGTGACAGGGGATGGCACCAACGACGGGCCTGCACTCAAGAAGGCTGATGTGGGCTTCGCCATGGTAGGGGCAGCTCACAGCGGGCCCAGGGTGGTGCCTGGTAGGAGCTCATAGTCATGGGGTGTGGGCAGCATGGCCTCCAGCTGACTGTGCGGGACCCCCAGTTCACACTCAGCTCACCCACCATGCACCTCATGTGCCCAGTGCTCTCAAGGCTGTCTGGCCCCCCACCACGGTCTTCCTGGAAGGGTAGAGGGGGGCTCCCTGCAATGGGTGTTGGGGGGGGGAGGCATTGGTGGGGGGGATGGGCCAGGGAGAGGCTTCCTGAAGGCAGAGAGCTGGCCTCAGGGGGCTGGGTCTGTGAGAAGTACAGGCACACACACCCCACGTGGTCCTGGCCATGCAGTTGGGAGTATGCATGTGAGGGATGTTGTAGGACTGAGGATGTGTAGGGGATGAGGACGGTGCTGCTTGAACTGCTCACCATCCCCCCAGCTGCCCCACCCAGGCTCCTGTCCCTGTCCCCACAGGGCATCGCAGGCACGGATGTGGCCAAGGAGGCCTCGGACATCATCCTGACGGATGACAACTTCAGCAGCATCGTCAAGGCAGTGATGTGGGGCCGCAACGTCTATGATAGCATCTCCAAATTCCTGCAGTTCCAACTAACGGTCAACGTAGTGGCTGTGATTGTGGCCTTCACAGGCGCCTGCATCACGCAGGTGGGTCCTCCAGGGGGGCGGGCAGGGCGGGGCATGCCAAAGCCTGGGGGAGCCCCTGCCAAGGGCCAGGAGCTGCATCGCAGACCTCAGGTGCAGGCACCAGCCCGAGGAAATGAGGCTCAGCAAGGTCGGGGGCTGGCCCAAGGTCATCTGGCAAATGAGAGATGTCAAGCCTCACCCCCATGATGGCCCAAGCCAGGCACAGGCCCAGTCCTTGCTCCAGGAGGCAGTAGAGGTCATCCTTGAAGGAAGGCAGAGCCCCCAAAGGGCCAGAGGGAGGCAGGGTGGGGCAGGACCCAAGGGGTATCCGACAACCGGCTGGGAACAAGGAACCGGCAGGGTCCTGGGGGCCTCAGTTCTGGCAGGAGTGTGACAGGAGAGGCCTGTTTGCCTGGGGTCCTGAGGACAGGTTGGGGCTCTTGGTCATGGAGAGGCAGCTGTCCATCAGGACCACTATCTGGGTCAGGGGCAGCCCCATCCCCTGAGCTTTGGGGAAGCCAGCCAGCAGGCCTGCATGTCTACAGCCTCACTGTTTCCTCCCCCAGCCCCATGAGGTGGGAACTGTGATGATGCCCATTTTACAGAGGCAGAAACTGAGGCTCAGAGGATGGACCAGTCAGGAACCTTCCATTGTTCCCGAAGCCTCCTTCCTTCTCCTAGGGACTGACCAGCCTGGCCTGGGGGAGGAGAGGGCTGGTATTCGAAGGCCTTCTGGCAATCACATGGGCCGACAAGCTCCTGCCCACAGACAGGAGCCCCCAGAGGTCCGGAAGGTAGCACTGCCGTGCAGAGCTTGTGGCTTCAGGAATGCTGCTCCCCTCTGTTGCATTCTGAGCCCCTGGGGCTGCATGTGGCAGCACCCAGTACCCTATCCTGAGAATGTGAGCTGGGAGGTGGCTGGTGGGTCCCTTCTGCCCAAAGGGCCCTCTCCTGCTCTGTGGGCGAGAGACTCCCTCTAGGGGTGGCTTAGGGAACACTCCCGCAGCACAGCAGCTCCTGCAAGGCTTCTTGGAGACCCACTGACACCAGCTGGGGAAACAGGTTCAGGGAGGACTATCCGTTTGCCTGAGGTCTTAGACTAAGTTGGCAGCAGGGCCGTGTAGGCCTTGGTGGAGATGTGGGGGCCCTGACCCTGAAGCACTTGTAAACAGAGAAGGCTGGTGAGCAGGAAGAAGCCGCAGGGCCTGGGGAACTTGGCTGGGCCAGGGCAGAGGTGGGAGAGGTGGCCTGGAGGAAGGGCTATGATGAGTATCTAGGAGAAGTGAGTGAGTGTATGGCGTGCAGGCAGAGTGGGCCTTGAGGGATGCACTGAGAAATGACAGGGGCATGACGAACAGTTCAGTTTAGGCTATTAGGCTTACAGAGTCTGTGGGCTTCCTGAATGGAGGTGTTCCCCCAGTAGATGAGGCTCATACCAGAGGGGGAAGTCTGGGGTGGAGAGTGGGGAGAGGTGGGCAACAAAATGAAAGCCAGGGGGACAGGTGTGGAGAGGAGAGCAGGGCTGAAGAAGAGGCCATGGGGGACACGGATTTAAAAGGCAGGGAAAGGGGCACCTGGGTGGCTTGGTTGGTTAAGCATCCGACTTCAGCTCAGGTCGTGATCTCACAGCTCATGAGTTTGAGCCCCAAATTGGGTTCAACCCTGCTTCAGATCCTCTGTCTCCCTTGCTCTCTGCCCCTCCCCCACCTGTGTGTGTGTGCGCACGTGCGCTCTCTCTCTCTCTCTCTCTCAAAAATAAACAAGTATTAAAAAAATAAGAAAATAAAAGGCAGGGGAAGAAGAGCCTGAAGGAGATGGAGAAGGAACATTGAGAGAGGAAGAGGAGGGCCAGACGAGTGGGGTCAGGCTCCAGGAGGAGGCAGTGGCCAAACCAGGAGATGAGGCTGGAAAATGTGTCTCTAGATTGGTGACAAGGAAGGTGCTGGTGACCTTGGAGAAGGGGATTTGGGGAGCACAGAGAGGCCAAAGTCTGGCTCCCAAAGACATGTTAGTTGGGCGTGCGAGGGAGGAGGGGACAGTCGATCGGCTCCTCCAGGCAGTGCACCCCATGCAATATGATTGTGCACAGAGCGGTACCACTATAGGACCCAAGTCTCAGCCAGAGAGAGGCGTGCAAGGATCCACACCAGAATGTGGATGGCGGCAGCCTGTAAGTGACAAGACCACTGATGAGTTTTAGCTTCTTCTGTTATTCCTTACTTGCCCAAATGTTCCACCACCAAATGTGTTATTTCTGGAATCACAGAGGCACACAATAATTGCTTAAAGTAAAGTGGGATGATGAGGTAAAAAGGAACCGGGTGGTAGTGAAGAGAGGACAGGGGTCATGGGCACTGGTTGTGGGATAGCAGAGACCAGAGCCATTGACAGCTGAGCGGAAAGCAGCAATGGGGAGGGCAGAGGGAGGGTGAGGACACGGGATTTGTGCCGGAGACGGGATCTTGGCCTTAGCCAGGAGAGATGTGTCCACAGGGAGTGGAGGGGAGGAAGGCAGATGGTGGGGGTGTAGGTAAGTTTCCCAGAAGGCAGAGAGCTGCTCACCATTATGCCCAGAGGACTCTATTTTCTCTTTGGAGGAGAACATGGGTACACAGGTCTAGGCTATTCTCCAGGGAAGGGAAAGCCTATCAAACCTGCTGGGTGCCTGCTTAGGAGCCCAGCGGGCAGGCCAGCCTAGGGCAGACCCACTGGGCAGAGCTGACTCAAGACGCCACCAAGATGCTGCTGAGACCCACACCCAGCACTTCGTAGCGGCAGGTGGGGCTGGCCTCCCCCATGACAGCCTTCCCCACCACTGCCATCTCCAGGACTCCCCTCTGAAGGCCGTGCAGATGCTCTGGGTAAACCTCATCATGGACACATTCGCCTCGCTGGCCCTGGCCACTGAGCCGCCCACCGAGACCCTGCTTCTGAGGAAGCCATACGGCCGTAACAAGCCCCTCATCTCTCGGACCATGATGAAGAACATCCTGGGCCATGCCGTCTACCAGCTCACCCTCATCTTCACCCTGCTTTTTGTTGGTGAGTCCCCCACCGGCCCACTTGGGACACTGTGGCCCAAACACAGCGTTCTGGATTCACATCTGCCTTCTCGTTTGCCAGGGAGGTAACAGAGGCCCAGGGAGGTGAAGTTAGTTGCTCAAGGTCACAGAGCAATTCCTGGGCAGAGCCAGGCCCCATCTCAGGTCTGGCCCACCCCAAAGCCAGGGCTTTGCCACTGATGACGGCTCCAGAAACTGAATACACACCATGCAAGGCGGCACCCAAGTGCTGATTTATGCCCCTCTCACCTGCCCCATAGGAGCCCAGGGCTCTGGCCCCTCCTCTGACCCATCCCTGCACGTTATCCTCGCCCCTGAAGGCATCCTCACTGAGACTTCCCTGGGGAGGTGCCGCATGCCTGCCTAGCCACCAGCTATTTCCACAGCATTCTCATCTAGGCTGCTTCATGTAGGTTTTCCAGCCACTCAGCCACCACCATACATAACAGTGAGTGCACTGAAGCACACAGAGGTGAGGTAACTTTGCCTGGGGGATGCAGCCTAACTCAGAAGCCTGGGTAAAGACCAGGCCTCGTTTCCTTGGGTGCTTCAGAGATGATGCAGGCCAAGCCCACCCCTGGGTCACAGAAAGGCCCAGAGTGGGGAAGGGGCTGGTCCACAGTCATGCAGGGAGTGGGGGCCAGCTGGGAGTCCCCAGCCGGGGCAGAGCCCCTCCACGTGAGGAGCTGGGCTTTCCATGCCCATAATGAGCACTTACCCGCTAAGTCCAGGGCACAGGTGTGGGTAGTGCATGGACCCTACTCCTCAAGGGGAAGTCCTCTTGTGTAAATTTTGAAAGCAATGTGTTGGCAGGACTATCGTAAAGATTATGTGTAGAGTCTTTGAAGAAGCCACATGAATGAAAAACTAGGAGAGAAGGTTGCCAGGTGGGGGAGGGGAGAAGAGGGCAGGTTCCCGGTCTAATTGCTGGCTTCCCCCAGTGGAGCACCTACCCTCAGTGGTCTTGGATTCAGCTCAACACCTCACACTCTGAAAATTCCACAAGCTCTCCCAGCACCTGCTTATGCAGCTTTGCAAAGGGATATAGAATGACATCAGGCCTGCCACCTGTGGCTGTCCACACAGCAGCCGGGGTGGGGCGGGGGGGGGGTCGACTCTCCCCCATCACGTGACAGCTCGGGTACAAGAGAATGAGGCCACATAGGCAGCGCCGGCCTGACCTAGGAGTCCCAACCTCCAGGTAGCACTCGATGTTTCTTGTAAGAGCCCCAGGGGTCTCCAGAGGCCTCAGCAAGGGACACATTCAGTTACAAGAAGTAGCCCTTTCAGGGGAGCCCAAGGCCACAGGCTCTACCAGGGATTCCTGGTTCACGCCCAGTCCTCCCAGTCCCCAATGAGTTTGCCAGCTGGAGGTCACTTTCTATAAGCAGTGTCAGCTCACAACACAGCTGGCATTCCACCTTTATCAGATCTCCACAGAAAAGCAAAGTAAAGTTCACCCAAGGTCTTTCCCCCTAGAAAAGAAAGGGTTCTGTTATCCCTCCACTCACACTCAGGACCACCCAACAGCGCAAGCCCACTCTGCCCCCTGATATCCAGAGCACCGCCTCTGACCTGCATGACCCACCTGGCTGTGTAGGAGAGGCCCCCACGCGGGGCCAGTGTCTTCCCCAGCCGTGGCCCTCAGCCCAGTTCCCGCCCTCTCGGCTTGGCAGGCGAGAAGATGTTCCAGATCGACAGTGGGAGGAACGCACCCCTGCACTCGCCACCCTCGGAGCACTACACCATCATCTTCAACACCTTCGTCATGATGCAGCTCTTCAACGAGATCAACGCCCGCAAGATCCATGGCGAGCGCAATGTCTTTGATGGCATCTTCCGGAACCCGATTTTCTGCACCATCGTGCTGGGCACCTTTGCCATCCAGGTAGCCAGGCCCCACCCTCACCTGGGCTGGGGTGGGCAGTGGACAGCCGGGGCCCCTTGGCAGTGCCCTGAGAGCCCAGACCCCTGAGTTGGCCCCTGATGGCCTCTCTCTCTCTCTCTCTCTCTCTCTCTCTCTCTTTTTCTCTCTCTGTCCCTGTGCTCCCCTTTGACCTCCAGATAGTGATCGTGCAGTTTGGGGGGAAGCCGTTCAGCTGCTCTCCGCTGCAGCTGGACCAGTGGATGTGGTGCATATTCATCGGGTTGGGAGAGCTCGTCTGGGGCCAGGTACGTTCTGGATGGGTTCTCAGCAGAAGGAGAGAAAGAGCACTGGACAGGGAATCCGGGAGCCCCAGGAATAAGTCCTGGCTCTGCCCTGGGCTCGCTGTCTGGCCCTAGGCAAGGTCCTCCCCATCTCTGGGCATGTGAGCGATGGGGTTTGGCCCCAGGTCCCAAATACTGGTCTTTGGGGTACCACCACTATAATTTTTGCTATAGATCTATATACCTCTGATGCTACTATTTGCTTGATGGTTTCCCTCAATCCAATCAGTTATTTTAATTGAAATTATTTCAAAAGGCAACTTTATGTTGTTAACATGGTTAGAAAATCGGCATCATCTGTCATACACAGAAGCTAACCAAAAAAATAATAATGCAATGAGAACTATGTTATTAAACTCTAACTAGATCCTGAAGCCAGCTTGTTGTCTAAAGGGGTCCAAGCAGAGACTCCTTCAGAGGGCTCCAAGGAAACACAAGAGGGGTGAACGCTGCCTTGTCTCAGAGCTATCCAGTGCTGTGTCTGAGATCCTCCCCAGCTTTAGGGAACCATGGGCTGACTGCTCTGTGGGGGCCCTTCCAGCCGTGACCCAGAACATTCTCCCTACTTTTGCCCAAGTCCTAAGCATGTGTGCGTGTGTGCATGTGTGCATGCATACACACACACACTCACACACACGTGCACACACTCCTTCAGAGCACGTCTGCTTGCAGACGGACCAGGATGCAGTGCTTGGGAGAAGTATCTGGAGCTGGATCTGGGCCAAGAGGGCCTTATTCCCAAGGTGCTCCGTCATCCAGGTACTGGGAGCCCCAGGTTGCCTGAGACATTGTTCTTGATTTCAAGCTGTTCCAGGCTGGAGTGGGAAGTTGCAGTAGCAGAAATTAGATAGAAGATAAAGAAGAAAATTTAGTTTCATCCAAAAAGGTCCTTCTTGCAACTTTGGAGCTTCTTTGGGAAGTTGATAAACTAGATTTGACTTCGCAACCCCATTCCTTGGGCACCCTCACAGCCAGGCCATCTTTATCCTCCTAGAGCCCACACCCTCAGGGAGCTCTTGGCTTCTGGGAGAGCAGACTCCTGACGCCTGAGGATTATGCCGGTGGGCAATGCTGAAACCTCCAGAGAACCCGTGAGACTGAGTGTCCAGGCCAGCCTCTGTTTGTCCCTACAGGATAGGAAAGGGGCCTCTAATCTCTGTCACCTCAGCCTCCCCACAAGGTCTGTCTTTCAGGTCTCAGCCCCACAGACAAGCCCTTTGGAGGACGATTAAGGATAAAAGCATATCCCCTTCCCATATTGCCTTCCCTTTCTGGGAAGGCAACCATTCCAAGTCCTAGGACTGGCTGCCCCCAAGGTACCGGTGCCCTGGGCCCCTATTGCCCACACTCAGTTTCCACAGGACCAAATGATCAGGAGGAATAAGCCCAGGGACCTGAGGGCCAGCCATGAGCCAGGCTCATGCACAGCAACTTAGATACACCACCCTGCTTAATCCTCCAACTGTGAGAATTACCCCCAGCTTTACAGCTGGGAAAGGCAGAGCTCAGAGACGTTAAGTGACTTACCCAAGGTCATGTGGCCTGTAAGGCCTGGGGCATATTCAAAGTCACATCTGTCCAACTCCTGAAGGCCAAGATTTTCCTCTGAATGAGTGACTTAAAAAGCAAATCAATAAGCAAGTATACAAGATGGAATTGAGGAACAGGTAGGATGAGTTAAGGAGCGAGCTGAGCATGAGTAGGTAAGTGGGGAGGAGAGGGGGGTGGGGTGGCGGGGCGGAAGGAGGCCACCTGTGGGACGGCCCCCATCACCCTGCCGCTGGACCCCCTGCAGGTCATCGCCACCATCCCGACCAGCAGGCTCAAGTTCCTCAAGGAGGCAGGGAGGCTTACGCAGAAGGAGGAGATCCCGGAGGAGGAGCTGAATGAGGACGTGGAGGAGATAGACCACGCCGAGAGGGAGCTGCGGCGGGGCCAGATCCTGTGGTTCCGAGGCCTGAATCGGATCCAGACCCAGGTACGGGAGGCTCCCAGGGCGGGTGGGTGACGGAGACGGGCGTGCTCCATGCCACCCCACAGGCACTCAGAGACCGGACTCGGGCCCTGCTCTCCCATCTCACCAGCCGTGTTCCCCACACGCACGCTCCCGTGGCTGCTGAAGAAGCTGCGGCCTCCCCAGGAATGTTCCGCCTTGCCCCGCAGACCAGCGAGGGGTCAGACTGGGGGTCACACCCACCATGGGTTTCGAGGGGGGATGCCCCAAAGCGGGGAGGGGGCCTGAGTGCTGAGGTGAGTGAGAGGCTCGGGTCAGGGTCGTGGGGCGGCCACCGGGAGGGGCAGTGCAAGGGTGGGCACCAGTCCATGTAAGGGCAGGGCCAACCCCACATTCTCCCGGGCCTGGGGGTCAGCCTGGGAGGTCCTGGCGTCTCTACACGTGCCTACGTGTCCTCCACCTGGGCCTTCAGACACTGCCCTCCGCCAGGGTGTTGACGCCACTCTGGGAAGCAAAGTTTGGTCTTCCCCACACATACACAGACACACACGTGCACACCAAGGACACACATGCCAAGCACACGCGTGGGACGGATTCCTTCCCCAGGACAGAGACACGTGCCACAAATGTGTAGGCCCCACACACTCTTGCACAGCCCTCTGCCCAGGCTGGAGCTGTAGTTCACACTGTTCGTTCACAGCCCCACGGGATGAGGGACACGGGGGACTAGGAAACTGAGAGAGGGTGGGTCCCTTGCCCCCCCATCACTCTGGGAAGTACTGCCCAGCCCCTACCTCGATCCGCCAGGCCTAGGTAACAAACAGAAGATCACCTGGGCTGCTTCACACCCCACAGGGCACCCCCAAACATCCTCTCATTGGCCTCCACAGCCCTGAGAGGTAGGTATGCCCCCCTAGTTTTAGGGGTGACCAAGGTTCAGGAGACAGCACTCTCTGGGAGCCGGGGTCGGGGTGGGACAGGTTTCAGACCAAGAGCCTCCTGAGAAGCCTGGGTTCTCCCCCACGACAAGGACCCCAGCACACGGCCCCCTTGGCCAGCCCTCCCCGGGACTCTGGGGCCTACAGATGGGCCTGGAGCTGAGCAGACATCTTGCAGAGGCTTTGAGTGTGTCTGGTAGTCTTTGTTTGACTTTAAGTGACGTTGTCGTTGTCACCGTGGCTGCGGCTGTTCTCGTGGCGTTGCGCCTGTCAGTCGTGTAGCTGTGTGTCCGTTCTTCTCGCAACTTGTCTCGTTCTCTCCTCCGTTGCAGATTGAAGTAGTCAATACTTTCAAGAGCGGGGCCTCCTTTCAGGGGGCCCTGCGGAGACAGTCCTCCGTCACCAGCCAGAGCCAGGACGTAGCCAATCTCTCTAGCCCTAGTCGCGTGTCGTTGTCCAATGCTCTTTCCTCTCCGACCAGCCTTCCTCCTGCTGCAGCTGGGCGTGAGTGTGAATCCTTACTGCCTCGGGCGCCACCGACGCCAGTGCTGGGCGGGCAGGGGCCGGGGCACCAAGGACACGGGGGGCAGCCAGTCATGGCGAGGCCCAGGGGGCTGAGGGACCAGAGCCATAGAGAAGGGTCCCAGTTGGTCAGGAGAGCATTGCCAGTCATGGGGTGGCAGTCATTTGGTGGGCCAGGGTTGGCTGGGATCAGGGTCAGGGATTTAACCACTCAGCTAAGGGGTCGCGAAGGTTGAAAGTGGCCAAAAAGGTCTGGGTCAGTCAAAGGATCAGCATCTGGAGGGGAGTTTCCCATGATCAAATGTCCCAGCACCAAAGGGTCACAGCAGCCAAGGGACAGCAGTCAGCGGGGAGGGCAAAGCATCAGTCTAGGATCAGTCTAGGATCATATTCAGTCAGGAAAAGCCTAGCCCATGAGGGCAAAGTCAGAGTTGGCCAAGCAGTTAGAGTCTTATAGTCAGTTAGGTAGGGGGATACCACGGGTCAAGGCCCTGAGGGGTCACAGTCAAGTCACAGTGGGGTGCAGCCAAGAGAGGGGTCACTATAGGTCAGAGATCCTAGTCGGTGAGGGCTCCCAGGCCATCAAGGAGATCACAGCCTGGTGGTTCAGAACGCTCTGCCTTCTCTCCTTGTACATCTGAGGACATCCACTGCCTTACACACACTTTTCCCTGCACACTGAGGGTCTGACCCCTTTCTAGAAAGGACAGAGCTCCTGACCCATTCAGCTTGACCTCAGGTACAAAACGGTGGGCCCAGGCTCACGTCTTGGCGGGGTGCCAGGACGCCCTGAAGGACCTGGTCTAACCCGTGGCTTCTGGCCCTTCCTCATCTCAGGGATAGTGGGGGACTCTGACCTCCATCTTCTCCCTCCTGCCAAGCTCACCTCCTCCTCTCAAGTGGAGACTTCTGACCTGGGTCTCTCATTTCTGGCCTGTCGAGATCTTTCTGAACCACCCCTCCCCCATGGCTTCAGGCCCCAGGGAGAATAAGAAGTGTCTATTTGCCACCTGCCTCCTTTACCTTGTCTCCAGTCAGCCTCTCCCAAGCCATAAGGGAACCCCTGGTTCTCGTCTTCTCAGATTGCCACAGTGTGTCTGTTCTAGCCCAGCTTTTGACGAGGAACAGACTCTAGGCTTCATCTCTCCATATTTTGTAAAGTGCCTGTTCCCCCATCCAAACACAGTACACCCACCACACACATCCCCTTCCACTGGGTGGGAAAGGACTTGCATGCAGGGTGGGACCTGGGCCATCTGAGCCCTCTGGTGGGAGACACAAGCCACAGAGAGACTGCTGATGGCATATGCTCATATCCCATGACTGTTCAATGGATGCAGCCCTGCCAGGTAGACAGGATGGGGGGGCGGGGTGCAGAAAGGGGAACAAAAGCCCTTCCATGTTCACTCATTAGCACAAAATCCCAGCAATGGGGAGGTGAAGCCAAAGTGAAATGGAGAGCTATTTGAGCAGATGGTGTCCAAGTCGCATGTCTGTGACTATCACTAGGAAGTCTCTGCCAGGCTTTCTCAGGGCAGGAAACACTTTGGTCCCCTCCTCCTCCCCTTTACAGCAGAGAGCCTCACCCAGCTGACCTACTCCTGCATCCACATAGCTCTGGCCTTGCTCAGCACTCACTACCACCTTTCTTGAAGACCAATGACCAAGTGTTCTGGTCTAGGGGCACCTCGCTGGCTCAGTGGATAGAGCATATGACTCTTGATCTTGGTTCAAGTGTAGAGATCACTTAAAAAAAAAAAAAAAAAAAGAGTTCCAGTCTGGAGAGCCACTGGCTGAAAAATCCATTTCTTTTGGCTCCTGCCACCCCTCCTGGTGACTCCTACAGCCCCCTGGCTGGGTCTGGCTGCCAGCCAGTTTGGCTTCTGAGTGCTCACTCAGCTGTTTGTCCATCCCGGGTTAGCCTCTTTCTTGAGGCATGGTGCTTCACCCTGGCCACAGCCAGAGACAACCTGGCATTTCTGGGCACCCGTGCAGCCTTTGGAAGTCTTCCTGTAGCATAGCCCCTCACCTTAGCTCTTATAGTCTAGGGAAAGAGCTTGGTCATCTCAAACCTGGGTAATATCATTCTCACCTTTTCCTGTGCCATTTATAAAACCATAAGGCCAGCCGAGGAACAATCAGCTCTCAACACTTCTTCAGAGAAACACCTATTTTTGCCCACCTCTCCAAGGACCCAACAGGAATGGTCAAGCGTGACTCCCTCATCCAATTGCCATCTTGTCTCCTTAAGCATTTTGTATTCCTACCCTCTATTGGAGACTCCAGACTGTAATTCAGCATGCTTTATGGGAGCCTGACCATCCCCCCTAGCCAAGGGTACTGGTTCCAAAAGAGATCACGACCTCTGTGGTTTCGACACACACATTTTGGTCAATACAGTCACAATGTGAACTCTAAATAAATAGTCCCAGTTCCTCCTTCTCCTGAATAGTCGTTATAACAATGACATACCCTCTGGTCTCCAAGGACTCTGAGGGCCCTCTAGCTACCGGCCGAGGTCCCTTCAAAAGCCAAAGGCTGGGGCGCCTGGGTGGCGCAGTCGGTTGAGCGTCCGACTTCAGCCAGGTCACGATCTCGCGGTCCGTGAGTTCGAGCCCCGCGTCGGGCTCTGGGCTGATGGCTCGGAGCCTGGAGCCTGTTTCCGATTCTGTGTCTCCCTCTCTCTCTGCCCCTCCCCCGTTCATGCTCTGTCTCTCTCTGTCCCAAAAATAAATAAACGTTGAAAAAAAATTTAAAAAATTAAAAAATATAAAAAAAGCCAAAGGCTTTCTTCCCACAGGGAGGTGTGAAGCCAGTAGCCACAGTTAAGAGAAGGGGTCCCAAATTGGGTGGGATGGAAAGGTAGGCTGCCTCCCACCTCCTCTGAGAAGGGTCTTCCTCCTGGGGATTCTCCAGCAGAGGAGGATAGCCATATGTATGCTGAGTTCAAAATACCTGGAGTCTGTATATTCTAGAAGGAGTCAAACCACTGTTTCCTGGGTTATCAAGGGTTAAGCACCAAGGCCGGGGGCCCCTGTCCCTGGGATGGACTTCTGACTCATGACCTTGGGGTGAGGAGCCCCCCCACCACATCACACATCGCTCCCCAGGCACCACTGTGGGACGGAGGGTGCCAGGCAGACAGGTGCATGCAGACATGACAGGCAGGTCAGGCTGACATCCGGAATGTTTGTGCGGGAACTCTCGTCCACTCTCGTGCTTTCCTCTTCTGACTCACTCAAAAATGAGAGGTTTTTTCCCCCCAGAAACTTAAAGGCACATGCCTATAAGGCCTTATACTTGAGCCTCACTCAGCGTTTTCCAAAGCTGTTCCCATATTCTTCACTTCACATATGCCTCGCAAATGAACAGGAGGAAGGAGTTTCTTCAATATATCCATTTAACTGAGAAAGACACTGAGGCTCAGAGAAGTGGACTGACTTGACCAAGATCACCCAAGTGAGTGGCAAGAGGCCTGACTCCAAAGTCCCTCATTTTTCCCACCAGTACACACCACTTTCCAGACAAGCGCATAGACCTGGAGCCTGCAGAGGCGGAATTTTCATTCCAGAACCAGTGCCCATGCCCATAGTCTCATACAGTGGAAAGGAGCCGATCCTCTGGGATTTAGAAGGCCAAGAAAGCTGTCTCTCTGCTTGAATTTCTACCAGCCTGGCAGGGACTGGGGAGAAGGGCACCTCCCCGCTGGTGATCCAGGACAAAATTAACATTCAGCTCTGACCCAGGGCCAAGCTACACTCATCTGCACCCATCTCAAACCACTTTTGTATTTAACAAGTGTGTGGCAGGCTCCGTGTTGGTCAGTGAAGGTCCTACTCCTTCAAACCAACCAAGCCAAGAACTGCAGGGTCCTAACCCAGAACCGGCCACTTTCTGGCCACTACCAGACCGGGCATCTCCTATTGCCACTTCCCCGTCACATTCCTGATTCTGAGGACTGCTAGGAGCAAGGAGTTTGCATCTCTTAAGGGGAGAAATGAAGAAGGAAAGAAAAGAAAACTGTATCTCTCATTAGCGTTTTGGTAACTGACTTAGTGCAATCTTGGGTTGGCGAGAAAATGGCTTGCTTCTGGGGTGGGGCCTAGACCTCTCCACTGTCTGAATATTCCATGTGTTTGTTTCCCTAGAGGGCTAGAGAACCCTGGATACAGAGTTCAGCAAGAGAGAGTGAAATTAAAAGAGGTTGTGAGTCTTTAACCTTGAGCCTGAAATGAATGTGAATCAATCCCAGACTCTTGGCTTCCCTGAAGCCGGGTAAACATTCGAGTATGTCGAACCCGTCCCAGCCCGGGGCCTACGCATTTCCTCAGAGCCCTCCAACACGGGCATGGGTGTCCTACTCCCTTTGTACTGATGAAACCAAAATGTCTAAAATCCCACAGGCCCGGTCCTCACCCCTCTCCCCTCCCCCCATGCCCAAATGCGGCTCACGCCCAAAAATCTCACTTTAGGGTAGGCAGGGAAGGGAGGCGGAAGAGCTTTTTTTCTTCCCGTATTTTTTTTTTTTTTCCATTTCAGCCGCGGAGTGAACCGAAGTGGAGACTTGAGATGGCCGTGGTGGGGTGTCCCAAAAAGTCTTGTCCCCACAGTCTTGTCCAGAGCAGTTCATTCTCTCTGTTGTCTCCATGCCAGGGGGAGGGCAAGGGGCCTGCATCTCATTGTGTGTCGTCCCCTCTGCATTTTCAGTCACATGACAGGGTCCTGCCACCATCCCTCCTCCTCCATCAGGTGCCCCAGCCAGCATCTTATTGCAGTTCAGCCTCAGAACACACTGGGCACTAAGCTGGACAGTTACAGTGATTATTATTCCCATTTTACAGATAAGAAAACTGAGGCCCACAACACCTTTTTCATTGTTTTCACTGAATCAAGGGTGCAGTGGCCTGCTCATCAGGAGATCAGAATATTTAATAATCTCTGCAGAGCCATGAATGGGGAATCCAGGGAGAAAGAATCCTCGGAGCAGTGAAATGCCTGTCAGAGGGCCAGCACTAATGCATGGCATCTGCAGGCACCTGCTGCCTCTTATTTAAAGCATGATTCCAACAAGGAGGGTCCCATGGAGTCCCCAGCCCCAGCACATAAGGAGGAAAAGGGACAGAGATGCTTTTGAGAAAACAAGGAAAAATCAGAACTACTAATGATGGCTGACAACAAAAGAAACTTAACAAACAAAATCAAAACTCTGGGGTCTTACACAAGACCGAAAAGGATTCCTGACCAACTTGAAGTTAAACCCTTCTCTGTACACACTAAATAGATACACATCTTATGTGCTTTAGAAACACTTCCCTCTGAAATAGTAAAATAGACCCTGAGCTATGACACTTAAAACCACCAGCCACAGTCACCCAGAAAACTCACCTCCATGGCCCACGCTTTCCCCACCTGTGTCCCACCAGCAAGATACCCCTGGGTTCAGCTGGGAGTTCCACAGATCCTGGGACCGCAAGGGCCTCCCCACAAGGACCCCAGCGGTCCTCTGCCTCCCGCGGGTCTGTGGTGTGGAGGCAGCCACTGCTCTCAGCTCCACGGCCACCTCGGCTGAGGCTCTGCTCCTTGGAGGCACTGAGGCTGCCTTGTATTCCCCTGCCACTGCCTCCACTCTGAGTTGGGGCTAAGAATAGAGGAGAAAGTACCTTTTTATCCCAAGGTCCATCTGCCCCTGGAGATGACAGGCATGGCTTCCCCCTCCCAAGAGTCTGGAGAAGGGACCCCTCTCTTCAACACAGGGATCCTGTTCCTCTGCACTCCGTGAGACAGGACAGGGGACGACCAGTGAGGCAATGTGGTCACTTGCCCGTGGTCAAGGCACCAAAAGTGCCAGAGCCAGGACTCAGGCTCAAGTCTTCCGGACTCTGAGTCCAGTGCTCTTTCCACCAACCTGGAAGACTCAAGATCCAACCCCCTTTCGTGGTTCAGAGAACCATGGCTTCCAACGAAGTCACAGAAGGTGAAAGAACATGCTGTTTTGTGGCTCAGGTCCACACCCCCTAGAATCCCACCCAGGGCTGGGTTTGGCCATCTGATTCTGGCTTCCTTTTTTGGGGTTTTTGTGTTTTCAAAGCACAAGTAAATCAAATACCCCAGGAAATGAGGGACCCCAAAGCCAACTCCAATGACTGGCCAGGGCTTTGAGTCTATACTCGAGTGTTTACCTCCCAAATGCATGAAGGAAAGAAACGTTGGGTACAAAGACCTCCGTTCACATTGTCCAGGCTTCCAAGTGTAGCCGTGTGTCTGTCTGTGTGTGCTGTGTGGTTCCTGACCCCTCACCGTGGCATGCTCCTGCCCATGAATGTCATCAGTCTGCCGGCTCCTTCGTGCTTTCTGGCTGCCTCTGCTCTGCACCCCAGAAAGCCCTGAGTTGGCTTTGGTTTGCTTTGCTGCCTTCGGTTTGATGTTCCTGTTCTGTGGCCCTCGTGTGTCTTCTCCCATCCCGGCTCATCCAACCGTCTCCCCCTTTCTGTTCCTTTTCCGTTTGTGACGTTATCTGTTCCATGTTGTATGGTTTCTTAACTGTGTGTGGTTTTTTTGGAGATTAATTTTCTAAAAATAGCCTCTCCTCCTTCCTCCTTTATTCCCACCTGGTCCCGCACCCCTTCTGCATGGTTGAACTTCTGCTCTAAAGTTAACAAGGCTCAGTCTCTCACTAGGTCTGGGTGGCCGCCGGAGTGGACTATGCTTCCTCTAACCACTGTTTCCCACCATCTCTGTGATGGGGCTTGATTCCTCCTGTCCTCATACTGTAGTTCTGACCAAAACCAAAGCAGTTTTTAAAACCTCTCGGATGCATATAACCTGAGCCCCTCTTCCATTCTTCCCCCTCCTCCCATGCTCATAACACCCAGCGACTGTGGATTCCAGCCGCCTGCTGTGCCCTGACCCCTCCCCCCAACCCCTCCTCCGAGCCCCCCCCCCAGCTTGGCTACTGGGCCCCCCACCCAGGGCAGTGCTTCTCACCCCTATGTTTCCCTTGCAGATTCGCGTCGTGAAGGCGTTCCGTAGCTCTCTCTATGAAGGTCTAGAAAAGCCTGAGTCTCGAACCTCCATCCATAATTTCATGGCTCACCCCGAATTCCGGATCGAAGATTCACAGCCCCACATCCCCCTCATTGACGACACCGACCTGGAAGAAGATGCCGCACTCAAGCAGAACTCGAGCCCGCCGTCATCGCTCAACAAGAACAACAGCGCCATCGACAGCGGGATCAATCTGACGACTGACACAAGCAAATCAGCTACCTCTTCAAGTCCAGGGAGCCCCATCCACAGCCTGGAGACGTCGCTTTAGCTGAGGACCCCGCCGCCACCCACCCCCGGGCCCCACCCATCCAGGCACCCAGCTCACCCAAGCAGCAACGAGCAACAACAGGAAACCAAATACTGGCGAGAAAACCAACATTTCCACCCAAAAGACCCTTTTTCTGGCTGCGATGCTGTTTGAACTCTTTTTCACTTTGAGGCAAGGGGCGGGATCTCCTTGGGGAGGGGGGGGCTTGCGGGAGTGAGCGATTTTCCCAGAACAAGCCCTTCCCGGCTCCCGCCCGAACATGGACCAGCCATGCACCCGCCAGGCCACCACGTCCCCTGCATGAATGTACTGTGCACTTCCAGTCCTCCCCTTGTTTGGTTTGGGGGGGGTCGGGGAGGGTCTTTTGTTTGTTTTCTTAGGCGGGAACTGACAACAGACTCTTTTCTGAGACTATTTATCCAATCGACTGGTCTGTGAGTTTTTGAAATGCTTGCGCAGCATGGTCTCAGTTGCATAGGTTAATTTAACAACTTTTTGAAACTGCAGAGCTTAACTCACCTAGTAAATTTGCACCAATGGAACCGAAGAACTTCATAGACACTCACAAGGTTATATCCATTTCTTTGTATCTATATCAACGTATACTTCTGCAAGACCGTATACGTCCATATAGATAGGTATACACACACACACACACACACACACACACACACGGATATATAAAGTTTTTTTGCCGGCATGTTGCCTTGTTTCCGCTTAAATGCTCTATTTTAACTTATTTATGTCCTAAAACAAGAATGTAATTTGTTTACAAACCTGTAGATAACGTCTTTGGCTATTTGTACGGTTTAAGAACACTGGTGGCTGAGATGCTATAAAGACAGCTCAGCCCAAGAGACACTTCCCTGGATTGCATCCTTGATGTTTTACAATAGCCATGCTCTGATTTTTGCCTGCCGTTTCCGTTCAATTATGTCACTACCGCGGGAGGCTCAGGCAGACGCCAAATGCTACTGAGTGTCCATCCGGAGGGGGTTAACACCGTGCTCGTGCTCCGTAGACACAGGGAGAGGAGGAGAGAAGGCTTCCTAGGTTTGCAGCACTAACGGCCGGCCCGGCCCGAGGAGGATGACGGGGTCCGCCAAGCTCTGGTTGAAGACTTTTCTCTCGATGAAACTCGCTTGAGTTTACTAAGAGCATTTCAAAAAAAAAGGTTCTCTTTGGCACTGTCTGTACAGAGGTTGAGGTAGTGTTGCAATATTATAAATGCTACTGTGTTGATTTTTTTTTTTTTTTTAGTAATTTAGAGGTTTATTTACTTATAAATTGCAGCATATGAGCTGTTGGCATACTGGATGAGGATCATTAAGGCCTGCTGCTTTTATTTTTATTTTTGAAGAAGAGTAGCCTTTTTCTCTGCACTATTTAGATCCGAACGAACCTTATGATGTGTATATTGAGATGTATTCAGTGTGATTTTTAAACCAAATTGTCTTCCTGTAGTCGCAATATATACTGTAGCCTTTTGACAGCAAGTCTCGCTTTCCCAGACAGAAAGCCATTCTGAAACCCTACAGTATCACAGGTGAGAAAAGGTGGTTATTTTCCCCCCAAGACAATAACAGCACTAGTAACCCCACTTAATGAGAGCTTATTTAATTGTACGTCAGCCTCTTAACTGCTAAGCACTTTGTGGGTATCAGCTTTTTTCATAAAAGAACTTTTGTATTTAATACAAAGTTTGCTTTGAGACTTTTCAGCATACAATCTTTTTCCATAAACTTGTACAGTGCAAAAGACATTTTGAATACCATGATCGATGACGTCCCATGCTTCAAGGAAAACCAAACACTTTTCCACCTCGCTTGCAAAATTCATTCCTCATACTGACCTTTCCCACAGTTGCTCTGTGTCAGCTCGGCCCTTCCCTTCTCCAGGCCCAGAGAATTCTTCCACAAACAAGATGAGAGCCACTCGGGAAAAGAGCCATAGTCAGCTGGGAGGGCCTACGTCTGGGTGGCTGTGAAGAAACCTGAGGGTTTGGGATCCCAAGTCAGCCCATCCCACCTGGCAAAACCTTCCTGGAAGGAGGACCTTCCGTGTGCGAGAGCATCACCTGATTGTCGTGAAGGAATATCTCTGAATGTACCCAGCAGAGGAAACTGCATCCCCAAAGGGGTGACCAGCCCTCAGATATGCTTACTGGATTCCAATACAAACACCACAAAAAGCCAGCCCACTGCTCGCCTGCCGAGAAAGTAGAGACCCGCACATGTAAAACATGGAGCAGCCTTGGAACACGGTGTTTTTTTGTAGCTTCCTTTCTCAAGGTTTTCCATCTCCCCACCTTCTTTGTTCCAATCTTGTGTCCATGACCTCATTCCACAACACCAGGAAAGCTGTGCTTGCACACCCATGCTCCCTGTTTATTTGGAGCCAGGACACAGGGAAAAACAGGAGGGGTTTCTCTGAGTAGAGCCTAGCTTGGAGAACAGGGAGCAGCGTAAGTAACGGAGGACACCCGACATTAGCGTTGGTCTTTTCTTGTCAGGAATGATGGATGCTCACACACACACACACACACACACAGAGGAAATGATTGGTTTGTCCAAACTCACTGTAGTACATAAAGCTTGCACTCTGCGTCCTATATCTAGCAGCATGGGGTACGTTTGGCAGTCCACCCCATTAGGGGGTAAATAATTTATGACCATTCATCTGTTTTTATGAATTTTTTTATCTAGACAATAACTGTAAATAAAGAACTCACCGTCTCTGTTCATTTAATACTATGCAATGGTTATGCTTCGATCGCTGACTCTTCTTACTGCCGCAGTGTGATTCTGAAATGTCTGTGGTTTTAAAAAAAAAAAAGGAAAAAAACAAAATCAAACAGAACACAGTAAATATATATTCTGTAATGTATATTTTTTTTCTAGTTTGGGACTGCACCATCCACGTAGCTTCTTTTCTGTCCTCTGGACAAGGGCTCCAGGAGAAGGTAGCAGATTCATTCTGAAGTCTAAGTTCAGCAACTTGTCTCTCCCAAACAGATGAGAGAAGAGCGAGGGGCCCACTGAGTGACCCCCGGTGCTGGAGAATCACCCACTTTTGAAGGTGGGCGGGGAGGAAATGTCTCCTCCCTGCAACTCAGGCAGCACTTTCCCTAACTCAGAAGCAGCCTCGATTGCTCCCACCGCCTCACCTCACCCTGGCCCCTTCCTCCTTTGTCCCAACTGGAGCACAGAGTTGACAAGAGGGAGGGTGCCCTGCTTTTGAGACCGGACCAGTGGCAATGATGGTACTGGGCCGAGGACTCTGGACCTGTCTCAGCCTGGGTGGCTTACCCCTGGAGTAGCCACTCTTCACAGCCATGTTGAAATGCCCCCCCACCCCCGCCCCATACCACATACTGATGGTGTATATAGATGTGGGCCTATTTCTGGAATTTCTCTTCTGTTCCCTTATCTGGGTGTCTCATCTGGCACCAGCCATACAGTTTTGCTTACTGTCGCTATATATGTTTTATCATGTGATAGGATAAACACCCTTCTCTCTCTCTTTTTTAAAACATAACTTGCTGGTTACTGTCTCACAGCTGTTCTTTTAAGTAAACTTTAAAATGTTGCCAAGTCTTCTTCCAGCCCCAGCCCTTCCCCCACCCCATATACTAGGCCCTGTCATTCTACGTGCAAACATCTTCCTGCCATTGTAAGCACTGTTCACTCAGGGTCGCTAAATAGAATGTCTCAAAAGGAGAAACAAAAGGAGTGTCCTAAATCTTGGGGGGAGGCCGGATGTTCCCCCCAACAACATCTCATCTATACCCTAAGCAAGGGTGTCAACAGGAGAGGCCACCAAGTCCCCTCCCAATCTCAATTTGGGACCCAAAGTCACCCCCCCCCCCCTTGGTTGTGCTGGGGTGGACCCTCCACCTGCCCCAGTCCAGAAGAGAAAGAAGGCTCTCTCCCAGACCTGGAGCTACCTGATGCATGGCCCAGTTGTTTGTATTTCTTATTCTCCTCCTGGAGAAACATTTATTCCCATCCCCCTTTCCTGAACTGCTTTTTTTTTGGGGGGGGGGGAGGGAGTTCACTTCCTGTTCTTTGTCCAAAGTTTTCTCAGTGGTTGTATGATAGGTCCTCTGGGATGCAGCCATTTCTTTCCTGGACCTTCACGCCACCCTTACCCTCTGCCCATTCTTGCTCTACTTACAGGAGGCTGTCAGCTAGGTGCACTGTGACGTGCCTCCTACCCAAAACTCTCTCCCTAGTGTCTGAGATCCCATCACAAGATGGGAGGGGTGCATTTCTTGAAGGCTTTGGGTCTTCTAGAGCCAAGGCCTAAATCAAACAACAGCAGAAAAATCCCCAGGTCTTGTCCAAGTTCTGAAGCAAGCTCTCCTGATTGTGATGTAGAGATCCTACTCACCCAAGTACAGGGAAAGGGATCCCAGGACCTGGGCATCAGCCATCACCCCCTCCACCAAACACAAGACCTTTGAGGCTGCTCTGGGACCTTCTCAGCCCCCGAAGTCTGTTTTGTAACGCCTGTGGTGCTCTCCCTCCGGACCTTTCCTCTCGGGGGTCGCCACACTTTGCTAACTCTTGTGTGCACATATTTTATAACAGAGTAGCGAGGAAATGGTGCCGTTCCAGCTTCCACGAGCTGCCCGGGCTCCCGGGGGGCTCTGGGGCAATTGGGGCTGGGAAGTGACTGTGCTCTTATTGTACACTCTTTATTTCTCTGTATCTCTGGCTTGTGCTCTTTGTAATTAATGGGATTTGTCTGCCTTTTCAACACTATACTGAGCAATAACAATAAATGCACACGTGGAAACACAGACACGGTACACATCACAAGGCCTTTTTCCGCAGGACAGCTGGGTCCTCGTCCTCTGTGGATTTGAACTCGGGAAAACTGAGTCTCTGGGAGGGAAAGGCACTTTGCCCAAGGGTGCATAGCTCAGTGGGTGTCTCTCTCCTTCCATCAGGCCACACCTTTCAAACATCCACCATTTGAGGGAGATAAGTTTAACCTGCCTTTCATGAAGAACAGTGAGCAGTCCCAAAAAGAAAGACTTTGGGGGAAGAGGCCTCAGGAGAAGGAGGAAGAGATTTGGGGACAGAGGGTCTTGGAGGTAGGGGCACAAATGGGGGAAGCTAAGAATGGCCTGATTTGAGGTCCAGGATCAACTGGAGGGAGGTGACAGGAGGTATGGACAGAGGATGTAGGTGGCATCCCTTACTGGGGATAGGGGAGGCAGAAGGGAGCCTGGCACCCTAAGAATCTGAACTGTGCAAACCTCTGCTAAGCATTAGCAGAAAACAAGAATGTGCCCAGACCAAGCGATGGTCTCAATGTTGGTCCAAAGGTTGAGGGTTGCACATGCACACCTCCCCCCACCAACACACACACACACACACACACACACACACACACTAAAGGCCAGCCTTTCTCAGGGATAACTGATCTCCAGATCAAGCACCATGAGCCCATTCAACTTCCAAACAGTTTCACATCCCAGGGTCCATTTACTCCCAACATCAACCTTCAGCGTAGGTATTATAATTTCCACCTAACAGAAGAGAAGACAGCACCTCAGAGAGAGTGCTTCTCCCACCTAGAAAGGAGAAGATACACGAGTGATCCAAGTGGTCATGATGCCAGAATTGGCACTCAAAACTTCTATATTACAGTGTGCTTCAGTCCTACCAGCAAATACCTTAATGAATAAGAAACAATTGCATTGCTTGTCCCAAATCCACAATCTCTCCAGCTTCAATGCCTACACCAGGGAATTCCTTTAATAACAACTATATTATTTGTATTATGTCAAAAATGTCATTGTCCCCATTTTCCACTCGAGAAAAACAAGGCTCAGAGAGAAATGATGCACCCAGAGAATCAGTGATGCAGCTATAGACTGAAGGCCAGGGCTTGTCCCTTGAAGAACAGGAGACCCAAGCACCCTGCCCCCTTTGTCCCCTAGCTCCACCGCCAACATCCCTGCAATATTTCTCCATTAGAGGGAAATAATCTTGAAATCTGGGGTGGGGGCGGAAGGATGAGCCACTGCTTGGAGGCCCATCACTTAACTCTTTAACACCACACAACTTTGGCCCCCGCTCCAAAGTTCCTTGATGCTCTAGGTCTGTCACACTCTTTGAGCCTTAACATCTTCTCTCCAGCAGTGACCATCGCCAGCTAGAATTCTTCCATCTAGTGTCAAGACAGAAACTGAGGGATTGTGACTTACACAAGGGGAGCCTAGACTCCACCCTAGGTCACTGGACTCATTAACGCCATGAGAGGTCCAGGGCTGCCTGACCGTGTGTGGCTGAGGGGAGCTCCCAGGCTCTGTCCAGCAGTACTGCATTCTCATTGTGCTTGTAGGAAGCCCGGGACCTAGGGGTTGGGGACACTGAGGTTTAGGTACTGGGCTCTAGCCGCAAGAGCCTAGCTGAGATCCCTCCCTGCCTGGGGTGTCCACCTGATGGACCAGATTCACAGGATCCCAGGACTGTGGGGAAGGGGCAGTTTGGAGGTCGTGGTTCCACCCATGGCTTGGAGAGGGCAGGGTGAGAGGGCTCAACCTCTGGTAACTGGCATCCCCTGGCCTTCATTGCCTCCGGTCCCAGCTTTGGGTTCTGAGGAGGGACTAACAAGAAAGCACTAGGACCAGTCTACCCACTACCCCCCAAATTACTCTCCTACGATGTTCATCCTAAGGCCGGTTGGACCCAGAACCCGCAGGGAGGGAGGTGAAGCTGTAGTTATGAATCCTTCCTTTCGTGTACTGATCCCAGCAAAAGGCAAGGGCTCTTCAGGAGACAAGACTGGCTACGGCTGCGGATTCCAAAAGCCCCGGGTGAGCCGGGCCTTGGAAACCAGAGCCCCACCCCTTTGGTCTCGTGCGCTCTGCACGCAGAAGGGGAGTGGCCTTGGGAGGGCGGGGTACGGCCCGGAAAAGGCACGGACCTTTCGTGCGAGTGGAGCGCGTTGCTACCCGGAGGCTCTAGAGCCACGGCCCGACTGCCGGCCAGCCCGGCGCCGGAAGTGAGCTGTTTGGGGCGCCGCCGGGAGCTGCCACGTCCGAGACCGGGAGCTGCCCACCGTCGCAAGCATGGTGAGTGTGGGGTCCGGGGATGCGACCCTCCCGGGTTCCACTACCCTGCTGAGGTTCAAGCCCCAGACTGGGGCCATTCAGCTCCCCTTCACCGCTTCGAGGTTTGCGGGGCTCTGGTCCTGCCCCTCGGAACCTTTCGGAGGGGCAGGCCAGAGGGAGGCCTTTGAACCTCTTGGAACTATGCGGACCGCGTTGCTGCCGCGTCTCTTGCTCTTTCTTTTTTTTTTTTTTTTCTCCTCCCCCAACAAATGAAAACAAAACCCAGAACACCGTAAGTGCTACTGTATCCTGAGCCCTTAGTAAGTTCCAAGCGTTGTCCATAATCTCCGCCTGCTAACAGCCCTGCAAAATAGGTGCTGTTATTATCGACACTTTACGCATGAGGAAGCTTGAGGTTCGGAGAGGTGAAGCCTCTTACACCACTGGTAAGTGGCAGAGCTGAGATTCGAACCCTCTTAACCAGTCCTTTGCACCACCTACCACCTCTCCCAGCAGAGATGTATGCGGAACAGTTGTTTGGTGTAGGGCCGGAAAGTATGATGGGCGCTTCAAGAAACTGATGTGAGGATGAGCTTTTAAATGACTGAGGGTAGGGGCTCGATTTTTTAAATCTCTGGCATCCAGCGTACAGTCATTCCACATTTATTCTTTGAGTGAATGACTGAATGGTAACTAATGAATAAAATCATGTCGCTGGAGCCTGGCACAGAGTAGGGGGAATACAGTAAACCAGTGCTCTCAGGAAAATGGGTGTGCTTGGACACACCAGAAGTCAGGACACTGGGTTTAGTTCTTGGTCTGCAGGGTTTGACATTAATCACCTCTTTTGGCCCCTCATTCTTCAGCTGCTGAGTAGAATCGCTCATGTTCTGATACTCAGCATTCTCTAAATGAAATTTTAACTCTTCAGCCGATTGGGAAGAACTGAATTGTTTTAAGGGCTGCCTCTTACTACTTAACAAGGACCAGACAACGTGAGGTGCTCAGGAAGAAGGACCTTTTTTTAGAAAAGAGCTTAAAAATAAAGAAAAAGTCACTTCTTCAGAAGTGCGGTTCCCACCAATCCTGGCTGGTGGGTAAGGGTGGTTAAAAATAAATGCTAGTTATTCCTGAGGCCCTTTGGTGAGCTGGGGCAAACCTACCAGTAAACTTTGTTCCTGACTCTGCTTAGCCCTCAGCTGCTGATTTAGGGAAGTCAGTATAACAACTACTTTATATTGTAGATAGACAGCCTGGTCAGGTGGAAAGCTTTGTGCGCTGGGAATTAACAGGTGGGGCTGTTTTTCCAGCTCCGCCTTTAACTAGCTCTTTGACTTTGGCTAATGCTCTCTCTTCTGGGTTTCTTCATTTCCTTAGTTATCAGATGGCTCCAATTAATCCTGCCCTTTGTCCTTCCCAGTGCATCTCAGAGAGTACTTTGTAATCTAGACGGCTTGGCAAGAGTAAGAGAATCTTCATCTTCCATACTTGCCTTTGCAGACCTTAGAGGTCTGCTTATTAGGGAGCCTAGAATTTGATGAGAAAACCAGTGCTTACTTGTTATGTACCTTTTGAACTGCTCTGCAACTGTCCTTTTCCAGTCTCCGCTTTTCCAAAAAGTCAAATCAGACTTTATACCTGCAGGGCTTGTACCAGAAAAAAATGAAATGGGAGAGGTGGTAAGATATACCAGTTCCAGGGTGCCTCGGCAGCTCTGTTGGTGAAGCATCCAACTCTTGGTTTCCTCTCAGGATCTCATGGTCATGAGATCAAGCCCCAAGGCAGGTTGCACACTGGGCGTGGAGCTTGCTTGGGATGCTCTCTCTTCCTCTGCCCTCCCCTGCTTGCTCGCTTGCTCTCTTTCTCTCTCAAGGAAGGAAGGAAGGAAAGAAAGAAAGGAAAAAGGAAAGAAATACAGTTCCAAACTGAAACCTCCCTTACAGTCCTTTTCTGTCCCAAGAATTTAAATAGTGGTTGAGCAACGTAAAGTTGTCTGGTTTTGTTCATTTATTCATTGAGCAAGCAGTCACTGGGTTCCTTTTGGTTGCAAAGCACTGTGCTTGGGTGATTTGAAAAGATTCAGAACTGTGGATGACACAGACCCTGGTCCAGGGAGTTCATCTTAAGAAAAGGGTGTAAAGTGGGGGCACCTGGGTGGCTCAGTTGGTTAAGCGTCCGATTTCAGCTCAGGTCATGATCTCAAGGTTTGTGGATTCGAGCCCCGCATCAGGCTCTGTGCTGACAGCTCGGAGCCAGGAGTCTACTTCAGATTCTCCCTTTCTCTCTCTGCCCCTTACCTTCTTGTGTGCTTGCGCTCTCTCTCGCTCTCTTTCTCTCTCTCAAAAATAAATAAACTTAAAAAAATTTTTAAAAAAAGAAACGATGTAAAGTGTTGTAGACATTAAGTGCTTAAGATACTCAGAGGAGTCCAGCAGGTTGGGGAATCTGGGAATCTTCAAGAACAGGGGCATAATTTGAGCTGGACCTCAAAGAATGAATGGGAGGGTGATGACCATGGCCGCTGTGTTCCAGCCCTATAAGCTGCTCAACCCTGGATCCCAGTAAGTGAGGGACTAGGATCTGTCACAGGTGGTGGACCAGGGAGCAGCTTCAGGAGAAACTTGAATCGGCTCTCCAAATCTTAGGTATTAACTCTGTTATGTAAAAAACTGCCTGTAACATCAGAAACTCTGTCATCCAGGAAGGGAACAACAGCCATAGCTCCCCCAGGGTGC